TCTAGCTATTTTTTTTTTTTTTTTTTTTATCTAGCTTTTGTTTTTTTACATGCACAAAATAGCCAATCTTAAAAACTAATTTTGTCTTTGTAAAAAAAAAAAAAAAAAAAAATTAAAAAAACATACGCATGCCGTAGGCACACTGCGTTGGAGAGTTTTTGTTTTTTTTCCGGGGTACGCAAATGAACAGAACAAATCATTTCGTCCATGGGAATTAAAAAAGTGTCATAAAAATATAAGAAAAAAACAGGACATGGAAGTTAATGGGGGTGTCATAAGAAAAGGATAACATATATATACACCTGAACAAAAGTAAATAAAGTTACAGGACGGGGGGGGTGAGGTGCGTCGGCATATATTTCACTAAAAAAATAAAAAAAGGAGGGCCCTGCACGCACGAGAGGATGCAGGTCCATACGTATGCAACGTACATGTGGACACGCTTGGACGCACAGGATTTAGCACTGCCCATGCCTGCGCACTCCCCCGCTGTCCTTTCCGATTTACAAATCAGCCATTTTAAAAGAGGGATCCCCTTTTCTGCTCGTTCCATTTGAGGAAAAAACAAATCCCGCGAGCGGGGGGGCAACGGAAGGACACCTAAAAGGTGTGACAAGGATGACACACACAAATACCAAAAAAAAAAACAACAAAAAAAATGTCATTTGAAAGATATAAGAGAGTGGAATAACGGATGAGTCCTCCTTACGCGTAATCCTAACAACGCACATGCGCTTCATTTCTGCGATCGGGTTTGAATTCCCAAACTGGCGCCTGTCCTGACGTCTTCCTTTGTAGTCTCTCCCTATCTGCGCAGAGAAGCGCGCAAGGTGCTTCACCAATGACAGGAAAGCCGCAAGGAATACGACGTATCGAACAACGTAACGTTACTTGCTGTCCCTTTTTTTTGTCTACTCTACGAGTACACCTTAACGAGGTGGTTTAAGACCTGCTTGACGCTGAACCCATCGATGGCATCAAAATCCCTGTCACTAATAGATTTCTGTTTCAGTGCATCCGCAATAAATGGTGGAGTAATTCTTGTAAAGCCAGTGCCATTTCTACAGAATTTACATTGCTTCTCCGGAGGAAAGGCCAGATCTGTGTTGAGAAATTTAGTCTTCCTATCTGCCTTACCATCTGTGAGTTCCCGTTGCCCTTTCTGCACTGGTGTCTCTTGAATAATCGATTCGTACATAGATCGCAAGGTAACAGCGTTGTGTATTCTCCATAGGAAAATGACGAATGATTCGGCTGAGTGGATGTTACAAAATCCATAGTAGCATGACTCTTGTGCAGTGACAAAGTGCTTTATACAACTTTCGCAGTTCAAATAACTTTTTGTGTAATTTGTTAATGCGTCGATGTAGAAGTGGTACCTTTCCTTGTCGTGCAGGAGACAGTGCACTGATATTTTGTGGAAGAGCAGCCAGTAGGAGCAGAGGACGGAGTTCTCTTCGCATACTTTGAATTTGGGTTCGCTCCAGGGTGTGTCCCCCAAAAGGTTCTGTACACCCTCTTCATTGCTTAGTGTAGCAATGGCATCCATCTCAGAGCCACTTCCAACAGTGTTACTGGCGTCTGTCCCTGCAAGCTCGTCGACAAACTTGGACCACTGCTCACACTTGAGTGGGTACTCCTGAGAGTCCAGCTTCTCACGAAGGTCACCCAGCCACTCGGACAGTTCAGGATACATATCTGAAACGATCTGTGTCATAACGAGAAAAGGTTCCAGAGTTGATTTATCCACATCTAACCCTAATGAAATATGTTTCTTCAAAGTGAACAGCATACCCCTAAAAATATCGTGCTTCAGAGCATCCTTCGTAAAGGGCATCCCCTTCCACCTATCAACAGTCATTCGATTTACATTATTAGCATCGTTCATTCCTGTGATTCCCCCAATGGCGCCATTTGTGGCGGCTATAAACATAGCATATTCAGGGGTCTCTTCTACTTGTGGGACATCAGCATAGCAGGACTTCAAATCGATGTAATTAAAATTAACATTTTTGCATAAATAATTTTGCATCATTCTTTGAAACTGTACGAGATTGTTCACTCTGTCAACCTCCCTGTAGGCCAGCAGCATGTCCTTCTTGTACTTTCGATTCACCATTTCTGTATTGGGAGCTATATACTTATACTCTGTGTCTTTTCCCTCCATGTAATCATACACTGGGTGCAGGAGCCGAAAGGTTGGAAAATAACGTACCTTAAAAAATCTGCAGTACGGCACAAACATGTGGCATGAGCAGTCAAACACAAATAGACTGACATTACTTTCGTAATTTGTTATTTCCTGCTCCAATTTATTCCACACATCAATATACCGACTGCATGCTGGGCAGTAGTAATTTTTTATATTTATTAAAATGACATCTCCATGTTTTGCATTTTCTATGGTATTCCAGAATTTGCTCAAAGTTTCTTCTGCGCCTTTACAAACATCTACGCTTCGTGCACATGGTACGTTGATCAGGATAATGTACAGCAGGAGCAGCACTCTCAGGAGGTGCTTGCACAGTGCCACCATTGTTCGCGTGCGGGGAGGAAGAGGGGTGACGCGGTGAAGTGGGGAAGAGGCGAAGTTGAGAAGCGACAGGGGAAGGCCACTCCAACATTTGCCCAGTTATTCGCGCGGGAGAGGTGCCAGCTAGTTATTCCTTTTTTTCCCCTTTAGCTCCCCCGTCTGCTGCCAAGTGAGAACAAATGGACGCATGTAGGGATGTACTTATCTGACCACGCGCGCATTAGATTCAACGAGGGAGTGTTGTCTCTCCTTGAGGATGGCCAAAAAAAAAAAAAAAAGGAGCGCCTCCCTCAAGTGGTGACTCTTCTCCGATAGGCATATAGGCAGGAAGGGTCTGCAACTGTCCGTCCGCACGAACGGCTACATATCAAATGTACTGCAGCGGGGCGTATAATATACATATGCACATAAACGCACTTGTAGGACCCATACAATTCACGCATAACGTTTAGCGACATATAAAACTGGCCACTTGACCTTTACTCAATTATTATTCGAGAGGTAAATTAACAAAAAAGGGGAACAAAAAAAAAAAAAAAAAAGAAGAAAAAAGTGGGTATTTACCCTTCCTGTTAACAATTTTTTTTTTTTTTTAAAAAAGAGTTGTTAAAAAATAAACTCCAAACTGGTATAAAAGCGGGCACAAAATAATGAGTATTTTTTTGGTGAGCAGTTGACATGTTACGAAGGAGCTTTTATTTCTTCATGTCCCCTTAACGACAACAAAAAATAGATTAAAAAAAGAAAGGAAGAAAAAAAAAAAAAACGCAGAATAATAATAAAAAAAGTAGGTGGCATACCCGTTTTTCAAAATAAGTCCCCATTTTATGCGGCGCGACAAATTACCTATACAACAAGGAGATGCGCGGCAAATGCAGATTGTAACGGGGCGCGGACGGTGAACGGAAAAAAAAAAAAAAAAATGTCCCTTCTCTAAGATGGCAAAGAAGCGCGCATAGCAGCGGAGTGCACTTTGTGATAAGCTTTAAATTAAGTGCGTGCTACTATATATACATATGGTACACGTAAGTGAACAGAACTGCTTCTCCTCCTGCGTGGGTCACACAAGGCATATTCTGGCGCGCTTTCCCCTTGCACCGATGTCACTTTCTTTCTGATTCCCATTGCGCATTCTCGTTTTCAGGACGGAGGTGAAAACTCGAGACGAGGCAAAACTACGCCCTTATATTTATTTACACCCCACACGTGCTTTGCATACTGGGAGGAGATACAAAACCGGTTTGTGCATTGCGCCAATGTGAGAACACCCATCCTGGAGGGGGCAAGAAAAAAAAAGGTGTGAAGAGTTGCGAACAATATAGTGTAACAGGCGCGTAGAGGCCACCCGCAAAGGCAACGCGAGGGCGAAGTAGTGAAAGGACCCCCCCCGAAGTGCACCCCGAACAACTCCCAGCAGCGCAGCCCCCATACCATGTCGAGCGTCAAGAAGCAGAAAGGCAAAAACGAAGCCGACCTAGTGGACAAACTGAATTACAAAAACTTATGCGATGTAATGCTTCACGAGTTGACATGTCTTAAGGCAAATCGACCAGTGTACTTAAAAAGAGGAGGCACATTTTTCTTGAGTTCCCGTGAAGAAGCCCTTTCCGTGTTGAAGGCGAAGAGTCAAAACGAGGAGAAGAGTTAGCTGTAGGGGAAAGCTAACCCCCCATTGTGGCCCTCCGCCCTTTATACCAACACACCCCAACGTTGCAGACCCCATCACTACATATAACCCCCCCCGTTTAAAAGTTACACAAAGGCAAACAACAGTTTATCAACCCAGGTGAGAAAAGCTCTAAGGGGATGAGAGTTACCCCATGTGAAGAAGCGAAGCATGTCCTCCAACAGCTTCACTTAACAATAGGAGCAGTTTTTTTTTTTTTTTTTTACACCCCCTCCAATAAGCTCGTCCCATTTATATGAACATATTAAAGTATCACATCCTGTTGGCATACGCGTTTTTAAATGTACCTTTTAGCCTGACAATCAAGAACAAAAGTGTAAAAAATGACACGAGGGAATGTGTTAGAATAAAGAATTACACAAACGGGAGAGGGAGACATGGCAAGGGGAAGAAGCTTGGGATGGGTGGGTTGCATCGTGTATGTGGAAAGGACACATTGCTACGCGGACATAACCTCCGCGGAAGAGAGAAGCGAATCAACAAGCTTACATTTTTGCATGCGGGAAAAGGGCATTGTTATGCAAAAATGATGGGGAGACGTAACCCCTGTGAAGAGAAGCCTACGCAGAAGCAATACTGCCAATGTGGAATAATTGGGCCGTTGAAGAGGAGCCCTTCCTCCGGCGTGCACCAGGTGAATTCCACCTTCGAGTACCCCGGATTCAGTTTTACCGTCCTGAAAGAATCACAAGAAGAGGGTTGCCATAGTAGAATTGGTATTATAAAAACTCCAAGGGGGGAAATTGAAACTCCGAACTTTCTCTTTTGTGCTACAAAGGGGTGCATGAAATCGACGCCAATAAACTTTGTAAAGGATTGTAAGACGCAAATTATTTTGTCTAACACGTTCCACCTGTTGATTCATCCCAAGCCACATGTCATTTTTCAGTTGGGCGGGTTGCACAGGTTCATGAATTGGCAGGGCCCCATTCTAACCGACTCTGGGGGGTACCAACTCTTCAGCATGACGTTTGGCTCGGTTTCGAATGAGATAAAGAGGACGTCCAGGGCGAGCGCCGTCACCGCTGTGCGCGCCGTCACCGTTGTTGGGGATAGCGATGGCGACAGCGGAAGCGGAACAGACAGGCAGGGTAGCAGGCAGCCTTCACCGCGCCCGCCCCGCGGAGATATAATCGTCAAAATCAATGAGCAGGGCGCTCTGTACAAGTCGTACCACGATGGCTCCGTGGACATGCTGACGCCGGAAAGCTCCATCCAAGCGCAGTACCTCCTGGGTAGCGACTTCTCAGTGGTGCTGGACGAATGCACCCCTTACCATGTAGAGAGGGAATATACGGAGCGGTCCATGCACAGGTCTCATAGGTGGTACATTAGGTGCCTTTTAGAATTTCAAAAAGCTATGACCATGCCAAATTACCATACCTATTTGAACCACCTGCACAATAAAAAGTACAAGGTAAAAGATAAATGGAAGGAAAGGGAAGCCAATAAACAAGCACTCTATGGCATAATTCAGGGGGGAATATATACCGATTTGAGAATGAAGAGTTGCCAGGTGGTTTGTAATTTGCCTTTTTTTGGTCTCTGCATTGGAGGGTGCTTAGGGAAGGACAAGCAGATGATGTACAGCGTGATAAAGAAGACCATGCGGTTTGTCAGGCAGGAGGAGGAAGGCAGTGTCTCGGTCAGGCAAGCCAACAGAACGAGTAGCACTCCTGTTGGTAGCTCTAAACCGGTACATCTCCTAGGGATTGGCCAAATTAAGGATATATTTTTTGGAGTGAGACAGGGGATTGATACATTTGACTGTGTTATTCCTACGAGGCTGGCGAGACATGGGTACTACCTATGCTCAGTTAAAACGATTAAACAAATGGAAGAACAATTGGGTAAATGTATTAACAAGGAATATATAAAAATAAAATTAAAGAATCACGAATTGGATAATAATCCTCTTGAGCATGACTGTCCCTGCTACACGTGTGCAAATTACACCAGGGCATATTTGCATCACCTCTACAAAATTAATGATAATTTGTTAGGGACTCTGCTGACCATACATAATGTGTGTTACATGAATCGCCTCATGGAGGACATCCGTGAGGGGATCAGGTGTGACCGTTTGGATGAGGTTGAGAAGAGATGGGTTCGGTGACAGTGTCGATGATGTTCGTATATTCTGGCGCGTCACTCTCGGGTGTTTTTCTCACCTGCTATATAGTGGGGATAGCCCCCCATGTGTACACCTAACTAAATTAAAAACTTTGCAGAGACTCTGTTTTTACCAAGTTGTCCAAGACAAGGCGTTTTTTGTTTTTTTTTTTTTTTTTACGTATAAGGTAGAAAAATGTGGCCCAAAGAAAAGAGGCAAAAAAAAAAAAAAAAAAAAAAAAAAAAAAAAAAAA